ATTGCTTTGTGGTCAAAGAATGTACTCTATATTTGAAATTTTTGAAGCTTGCTTTCTAAGCCAGTTTGCAATCGATTTTTGTAAATGGGCTGTAAGAGCCTGAGAAGACTGTGACCCCGGGACACAGGATCCATTATTGTCCATTAGATCAAGTTTGTTACTTGTGTTGCTCGAATTCTCTGTATCTTGGCTAATTTTTTTCAGCTTTGCCATCAATAATTAAGAGAAGCACTTGAGAGACCAGGGCGTGGCTCTGAGGTAGAGCACTTGGGTAGCACGTGCAAGGCCCTGAGGCCCAGCCCCAGCCCCCCCAACAAAGTAAAATAAAAATTTAAAAGAAGCACTTGAAATATCCCCTGCCAGTGGTGAATTTTTCCATTTCTCCCTGTTCTGTCAAATTTTGAAAGTCAGATTTTTTTCTTTATTAAAGTAAACTTACGCACGATTGAATTCACTTTTTAAATGAACTGTTCTGCAAGTTTTGACAAGAACAGAAAAAGGACATTAGAGAAAAAGTGAAGAACACTGGGAAAAGGAGGGACCCCAGTTAATAACAAGGCATCAGCCTCAGCCCATTACTATGACAAATGGATCCGAATAATGTAAGACGTCAATTAAAGGGGAAATTGGATGTGGGTGCATGTGAACTCTCCGTATTATCTGCAATTTTTCTGTAAATCTAGAATATTCTACAACAAACAGTTTCCTTAACATTCTCTCATGACCTTTTGTAGCCAATCCCTACCCCCAACCCCTCCTTCTGGCAAACACATTCCGTTTATTCTCCATCCCCATGGTCTCACCTACGCCAGAATGTCATGCTAATGGAGAACCCATAGCCTTTGTGTCTAGCTGTGTCGCTTAGTATAATGCTTTCGAGATCCATCATCTTGCTCTGTGTATGAATACTCTTCACGGCTGAATAGTATTCCCTGAATGATTGCACCATAATTTGTTCATCTAGTTGGTGTGCATTTGGAACTCTTTCCAGTTTGAGGAGGTTATGAATGAAACTTCCATAAATATCTGTATACAACCACTGTGTGAGTCAGTTTCCATCACTGTGACAAAACGCCTGAAGAAAACAAGTCAAAGGGGGAAAGGTTTATTTTGGCTCATAGTTTCAGAGATTTCAGTCCATAGTGAGCTGGCTCCATTGCTTTGGGTCTGAGGAGAGGCAGAACATCATAGTGGAGGGCACAGTGGAGGAAAGCAGATCACTTCATGGCAAACAGGGAGCAAAGAGAGAGAAAGAGAGAGAGGAAGGGGCCGGGGACAAGATATATCATTTCAGGGCACATGACCCCTAGTGACCTACTTTCTCCGACTAGGGCCCACCTCCTACGGTTTCCATCATTGCCCACAGTTGGTTCAATGATGGTTCATTGAACCCATCAATGGAGTGATCCCTTGGTGAGATCAGAGCCCTTGATCCAAACCAGAACATCTTCCTGCTGACAATAACTGGAGCTAAGAAAAAATACTCTAAGATCACGTCTCTGGATGTTTGGAGGCAGTTACAAGTCAGTGACGATGAGACAGTAACAAGTCTCGACGGGAACGTGGAGAAATCAAAACCCCTGGACATTGCTGGTGATCAGATAAGATGACGCAGGTGTTTTGGAAAACAGTTTGATATGTCTTCAAAATATTAGACAGTTCCCCTCTGACTCAGGGACTCCACTCCTAGGTGTGTACCTTAGGGAATTAATGCCATAGGTCCCCACAAAAGGTTGGTCATTCCTCTTCATAGTAGTGTTGTTCATGATAGCCAGAGTAGAAGCCATTCACAGGGCCACCAGCAGGTGTGTAGACCAACCAAACCTGGTGCGGTCACAGTGCCATATTCTGCATCCACAGGAAGGAGTGAAAGTCGGATGCACCTACAACCTCCATGAGCCGGAAACATGAAGCTCAATGAAAGGAGGCAGGAAGAAAAGGTTCTGTCGTATGTCTGATTCCACGTGTATGTAAAATCCAGGGGGCAAGTCGGAAGAGGTGTCAGAAAAAAAGACTCCTTAATGCAGTGATCAAAACTAGGGGTATCTGGGCAACAGTGGTGCACACCTGTCATCCTAGAGGCTCGGGAGGCTGAGGCAGGAGGATCACGAGTTCAAAGCCAGCCTCAGCCATGGCAAGGCGCTAAGCAACTTAGGGAGACCCTGTCTCTAAATCATACAAAATAGGGCTGGGGATGGGACTCAGAGGCTGAGTTCAATTCCCAGTACCCCCACTCCCCAAAAAATCTATGGGTAAATACAATAGGCTTTCCTTCTCCTCTTGAATTTTGTAAACTATGAAAATTGAAGCAAAATTGTCCCCCTGTCCGATGTGTAGTAAATGTGTGGGGAGGGAATGTTTAAGGTCGAGTTTCCAGGAGAACTGAGTCAGTTGACCTAAGCGTCCCATCTGCCAACCTCACCACACTGGTGACCAAGTTCCCAGCACATGACCCTGCGGGGACACACTTAAACTGCCTACCACCCACAGGACTAGTGTCCACCCATATCTTAAGCCCCCAGATGGACGGGGGCTTAAGATCTTTCTGTCCCATCACAATTTGTATTGGACACGGATGATTCTTTCCTACTTCTATCATTTTCTGCGCTCCCACTCCTTCCTGCCTCTCAGGCTGGCCGTCTGGGATCTTTTTGCATCTTTTTGAAGTTTCTTTGGATCGTTTTCCGCTTTTATTTACCTGCAAATGTTAAAAGAAACGGATCTCTGTCCTTTGGTCTCTGTTCTTGAAAGGGTCCTTGGCAGGAAGTCACTCTAAGCCGGCGTTTGCTGGGTCTCATCCCTTTGGAGATGTGATGTCCGCCTCCGCATCTCTGTCGAGCTGTTGGGAAGGCTCCTGGCGCTCGTCTGTCCCCGTCGCAGACAACCTGTCGTTTCTCGGAGACGGCTTTCATCCCTCCTCCGCCTTTGGCATCCGTGGTTTCAATGAAACGCAGGCGCAGGATGGATTGCTACGTGTTATGCTTGGGGTACTGTGTATTTCCTGGCTCTGTGGCTCTGTTTTCCAACACTCCTAGAAAATGTGCTGCCATTTTATCTTCAAATACTACCTCTTGATTATTCCCTTTATTCTCTTCTTCTGAGACTCCGACAGAGAAGGTCTCCTCATCCTCAAGGTTGCTCCCAGCCTCTCTTGGCATTACCCACCTTCCTCTCTCTCTTGTGGCATTTTTTATCAATGACTTCCAGCTCACAGATTCTCCATTCAACTGTTATTGCTGTTTGAATTTTAGATTTTGAAATTATGGTTTTCATTTCTAGAATTCCATTCCGCCCCCCAAACCTCTCTCTTCATTCCTCCTTGTTTTCTATGTTCATCTTTAAAATTCCATCTTTTCTTCTCTCCCCACCCCTTTCTACAGTCCCGGGTGTTGAACCCAGAGCCTCACACATGCTAGGCCAGCAGTCTGTCCCTGAGCTACACCCCAGCCCATTTCCCTTTTCTCACTTTGATTTTGAGACAGGTTCTCACTCAGTAGCCCAGGTTGGCCTCCAACTTGAGATCCTCCTACCTCAGCCTCCTGAGTAGCTGGGATTGCAGGCAGGCACCACGGCACCCAGCTTCTTTTATCTCTTCAGCCGTCTCCCGTGTGGCTGCTCACTGCTCTGTTGCTGGGTCGGACTCTGTTGCTCCTTTTGTCCCTGCTGACTCTCACTCATGGTGGCTTATCTTCTTGTGATTCGGAAAGTCGCCCGTTGCTTGATCTCACTCTCTGGGCATCCTCTTGGCCTATCCTAACCGAATTCCCCTCCACTTTGAATTTGCTTCTAGGACACCCCAACCCAGGACCGCGCCTGGGTTTGATCTCCCCTGAAAGCGGCTCCCCCGACCCTTCTTCCCCCCACCCCCAGCTCTCCCAAAGTTCACTATCAGCACGTGGAAAAATTGCTGCAAGGACTCCGGCCTTGGGCCAGCTCACTGAGCCTCTCCTGCACCCCCAGATCCAGCACCCCTCCATTTGCTCCTCAGTATCCCTCTGCCAAAGCTGGCTTCCTGTGTTCCTTGGAGCCCCGCCCATGTTCCCACCTGTCAGATCTTTTATGGAAGTGTTAAATGGTCTCTGGTGGCGCCCACACACGCTAGAATGTGGCGACTGGTTATTTATACATCCCTAGCAACCAGCGCAGCGCCCAAAATAAAAGCGTGTAACCATTATGCAGCGGCTGAATGAGCAAATGGGACCGCACCTGTCTCCACTGTGCTGTCCGTCTGACACCGAGACAGACAGGGACACTTGTCACACAGGGAGACAACTTCTGTCACAGAGGAGGGGCGTCGGGAGGCAACTCTACTGCAGATTTGGAGGTCAGGGACGAGGCCCGGTCCAGTCTGGAGGGCACAGGGATGTGCAGAGCTGAGACTTTAAGGACATGTCACCGTGGCGCCCCAGTGAGGGTGAAGGGAGAGCATTCGGCCCCAGGCCGGCCCCCCAGGAGAAGGCAGCAGTCCAGGGAACCAACAGCAGCGTCAGTGTAGCAGGATCCAGGGGGTGAGGAAAGCAGGAGGGAGGTGGGCTCCAGGCTGGGCACAGGCAGGACCCGGGGCCATCAAGCTCCCAAGGACAGTCTGGCAGTGACGGGGAGGGTGTGGCAGGACATCTTTCAGCAGGGGAGGGGCATGGTCAGGCTGCAGGGTGGAAAATGCCCTCTGGCTACTGGGTAAAGCTTGAACTGGGAACAAGGAGTCAGGGAGGCCCATGAAGAGGCTGGTTCCGAGCAGGGCTGATTGCTGGGGTGGGGGCACCCCAACGCAGAACCCCTGGGATTCCTGGTGATGGCCTGGGCTGACCATAGACACACGGAAACCGCGAGTTGAGTGGGCTGCGTGTGAGGGGCTCTCTGTGGGGCCGAGGGGCTGCCCGGGGGATGGATCTGAAGGGTAAGGAGTCCACGCCTCGGATCTCCGAGCAGTGCTCTTTTCAACTAGGGTTGCCAGTTTTAGCAAAAATTAAAAATAGATATATAGGACACACACAGCTAAATTTGAATTTCAGATAGACTGTGACTATTTTAGAGTCAGTGTGTCTCCAGAATCACGTCCCTGTACCTTATCCGGCAGCCCCACTCTCAACACCCGCCACACGTCTTCCTGAGACACCAGTAACAAAGCAACACAGAAACGTGCGGCCTCCACCTGCTGTCCTTCACCCGCTGCCTCTTCGGAGCCCCTGGCCCTGAACAGGGCCTCCCTCCAGCCCCCACCATCTTCCCGCCTGGTGGGGCTGGGAGTGAGGGAGGGCGGGGGGGCACTGCAGTCTCCTCAGCTCCTGTCCCCACACCCCACTGGGGTATTTCCAGGAAGCGGTCCCTGCCCAGAGCCTAGACCCCAACACGGCTCAAGGCCACCAGCTTGGGACCGCTTCCTGCAACCTCCAAACCCCCCAGGGTTACCAGGGCCACATGCTCAGGTAGGTCTAGGCTCGCTGGGCTCTGAGAGGCCAGGCTCTGGGCTGGGGGGTGCCGCCTTCCACGGGCCCAATTCACAGAGCTGTCCATCCAGCCACGGCCCAGGTCACCTCTGCCTGGAGCTGCCCACATTCCCATGATCCCCCAGCACCCACGTCAGCAGGGGACCCAAGAGGCCTGGAGGACCTGCTAGGGTGTGCGGCGAGCTCTGTCGGGGACTTCCATCACCCTGACGAGGGGGGGCTGCTCTGCCTGGGTTCAGAGCAGGAGAGGCAACCAGGGTTGTCGTAGAAGATGTGATAAATGAGCCACCAGAGGATTGGGGGATTGAGGACGTGGGGGGACAGGGTGGCAGCCGAGGGGCAGCACTAGCAGTGAGTATTCCTAGAACAGAAGCCAGAAAGGCTGGGGCAGAGGCCCCGAGGGGAAGGGAGGGTGGAGGTGCCTGAGGAGGGGCGAGAGGCTGGGAGACCTGCGCCTGCGGCTCAGCCGACACCGTGATACCAACAACCCAGCTAGAGCCAGCAGTGCCTCCCCGAGGACCGAGCCTCTTTATAGGGACTCTTTTGCTGAATCTCCAGAGTAGGTCCCGCCATTGTCCCTATTGTACAGAGGGGGAAAGGAAGGCCCAGTCTGAGTGACTTGTCCACAGTCTCAGCTAGGAGCGGCCCTGGGCCCGCACCACTCGCCAGCTAGCGAGGAGCTGTTCGCATCCAGAGATGTGCAGAGGGGAAGAGGAGCCCCTGGGAGAACAAGGACCCTGCTCCAGTTCCCTGGCTCAAGGTCATGAAGTCTGTCGATGGCCTGGGGCAGAGCCCTAAGAGTCCATCTGGGCCAGCTGCTCTAGTGCCAGGGATGCCTGGGGCACAAGCCCCCCAAAGTAACCTCGCACAGCTGCCCTGGGATCTCCTCCTGCAGTCACTCCACAGGCGCAGTCCTGGAGGGACCCATCTCTCCAGCGGGCACATGGGGTCCACAGGTGATGGCTGCGTTTCCAGGGGCAGCCTTGGCGCCAATGCCTTGGTTCACAGGCCAAGAGCGCCGCCTGGTGTCTATCTCAGGAAAAGCACCGGCTTCAAGAGTGTTGTCTCCTACCTGACAGACGGGTCTAAGGCAGAGGTCATTCTAGGCCACGGGGCCACCAGAGCTTGGAATTTAGAACCCACACCCTCATGCCCACCAGGGGAGACTCAGTCTTCCCCTGACATCTAACTCAGCAGGCTCAACCAACTGGAGGGAGAAGCTTCCCTGCTCCAAAGCCAGGGAGGGCCTGTGGCCTTGGTGGCTGATCTGAAGGGACTGTGGGGGTCTTGGAAGCACGGGAGGAGGATGCTCTGGAGAGGACTGGACCGCCCCATCTTTGGGAAGGATGGGCTCTGAGTTGGATGTTATCATTTGGGGGGTGAAAGGAAAAGTGGCCTTCCTTGGGCGTAGGCTGGTGAGGGCTGGGGTGGGGCTCTGGGTGCTGGCAGGGGCCGCGGGTCAGGTGAGCCCGATCCTCCTCAGCAGGAAGATAGGGACCCACTCCAGAAGGCAGGGGGAGGCCACAGCAGGAGGTCAGGAGGGAATGCCACCCGCACTGACATTCTTCTCCCCTGGTGTTCAGTCTTCACACAGCTCCTGGTCAGCCACTTGTCCCCACGTCACAGGTATGGAAACCGAGGGTCCATGATAGGCCCAAGATCACTCGGCAAGACTCAGAGCCAGGCCTGGGAACGTGGCCTCCTGGCTCCCAGGCCCGAGCTCTGCCGACAGGCCCGGCCAGCTGGGCGGACCCCAGCCCACGCCGCCCTCTGTGCCTGGGGAGGCGGTGGAGGTAGCAAGGCCCAGGAGGCACCAGGGCCTCAGTGTCCTGCAGCAGGCCTGCCACCTTCTGTGGTAGGAGCCAGGGCCTTGGGCTGCAGGCGGTGCTGGGTCACTGTGTCATCTGGGAGGAGCTGAAGGCCTCCATCTCTGCCTTGGCCTCCGCCTTCGAGTGGCACCTCTGGAAGAACAACCACAGGAAGAGGAAGAAACCTGCAAGAAAGGACCGGTCAGTGGGCATCGCTGAGAGCAGGAGCCTCGCCAGGAGCCCAGGGACCCCGAGCCGGGCTGAGCGGGGCCTCCCTGGGCCCAGGAGTATTTCCCAGAGCCTCCTCCTCTTGGAGGACAGAAGGAGTGGCCTCTAGGAGCCAGAGGACCGGCCCCGCTGGCCCAGAGGGCACTTCCGTGCAGGCGAGGCTGCACCCCACTTGGCAATGACGCAGCGCCCCTGGTCCTCTCGCCCTCGACCTCCCAACTGCTGCGAGCAACCCACAGGCCTCCTGCCCCCCCCCCAGGCCCACCGTAGAGCGAGTTGACGATGGTGAAGAGGAAGAGCTGGGGCAGCAGGAAGATGCCAAAGGAGAAGAAAGCCAAGGACCAGGTGGTGCCCAGCAGCACGGTGAGGCCCAGCACGGTGACAGCGTCCCTGCAGGCCTGGCCGCTCAGCGCCCTGTTCTGTGCCCACAGCCTGCGCAGGGCCCACAGCGCCCAGGCCAGCACCGCCAGGTTGAACAGGGAGGTGACGCCGCTGTAGCCCATGACCAGGACCTGGTGCACCACGGGGCTGCACAGCCAGCACCTGCAGGGGACAGCGAAGCACCAGGTCAGCGCAGCTCCGAGCCCAGGGAGGCCAGCTGCCTCTGGATGCCATCTCGACTTGCAGCCCAGACGACCGTTTCCTTCTTTTCTCTCTTTCCCCTCCCTCCTTCCCCCCCCCCCCCCCCCCTCCCTCCCCCCCTCTATTTCCTCTCTCTCCCCCCGACCCTGGCCCTAGGTCCCCCGAGCCCTTCCTGTCTTTCCTGGCCGCCTCTTACCCAACCTGAGCGCTGTGCGGCTGCCTGGCGTGGACGGTGCCGCGCGGTTCTCATGACCCACCCGCGGGCACTAGCCCTTCCCACCCTGAGGATGAGGAAACTGAGGCTCCAGCTCAGGAACCTCCAGTCCTGCTGGAGTCCGACCCACACACTAGTCAGGGGCAGAGGTGGGACTTGAAGCCCCTTGGTCTGAGCCCAGACCCTGTGCCCCTGTCATGGTCACCTGCTCAGGGACCCCAGGGACTCCTGCTGCTGCAGCCACTGTCCTGTGAACAGCGCTGGGGTTCATCTCACTGCTAGGCGATGCACTAGCAGCAACAGCCCCTTCACCCTCTTAATCCTGTCAGCGGACATTTGGGTCGTGTTCCAGGGTTGCGTGAGGAAGGCGTGGGTATTAACGACGGTTAAGAGGCAAAAGAGGGTCACAAAAGCCAGAGTTATGGCTTCCTGAGGCAGAGGGAGGGGTGGGAAAAACACAGGGAAGCTAGTGCCTCGCCTAGGGTCCCTAACGTCCCTGTCATGTGTCACTTCAACTCTTCTGTCCATATCACACAGTATATAAGAAAACACATCTTTGACGAGGGTGAGTCACACCTCCTTGGAGACACAACCCGACCTCCAGAGAGAAAGTGGCCCCTCCCCTCACTCAGCTCCTGAGCCCTCAGGGACAGTGGGGATGAGGCGGGCCTGGTGGTCGGGGCTCACTGGCTGCAACTGGGTCCAGCTCTGCCACTGACTGCCTGGGTCTCCTTGGGCAAGTTCCAGGGCTTCTGTGCCTCACTGTCCTAACTATACAGCAGGGCTTGACGTCGCAGGTTCCAGGAGGAGGCAGCAGACTGTCCCCAGGCCCCCAAGGGCCTTGCCTCCTATCAAGCCCCAAGGACACTGAGCCCCATCCCTGCACTGCCCTCCCCCAGGTCTACCCACTCTCTTCTCAGGCCAGGGGGGTCTGTGGGGCCTGGCAAGGTCGTGCCCTGGCGCAGGTCAGGAGGAGCCGGAATTGGATTAGTGAAGCACGGGGCTGAGCAGGATGGTCAGGGGCAGGCTGTGCTGGAAAGTCTACTGGGAGCTGCAGGCCAAGGCTGGGCCCCACAGGCAGGCTCCACTGCCGGCCTGGGGGGCTAAGCGGGCAGTGCCCTCTGACCCACGGCTTCCTGGCGTCAGCCGGTGCAGCTGCCCTGCAGGAGACTGCCACATCCGGGAGGAGGAGTGTGGCGCCCCCCCACATCCCCATCTGAGCTCCTCCTCGCCCTCCAGCCAGGCCTGACCTGCAGGACACCCGTCTAGAGCCCCAGGCCCACGGGGCGTTCTGCCAGCGCCGGGCACTCACATGGACGTGTTCCCGATGATCGTGCCATTTTCCAGGCTCCTGGAGATGGGAATCACACGGGGCCCGTACACGGAGCTCTCGATGGTGAGGAGCAGCAGCACCAGGAGGGCAGGGACCCCTGAGCGTGGGACAAAGGCTCAGGAGGCCCCAAAGGGCTGACCCTCATCTCTGGGTCTGCTAACAGGGAACCCCACTGGGCAGGGGAGGGGAGGGGCCGCGCTGAGCTCCAGCCTCTGAGCACTGAGCCTGCGCTCTCGGAAGAGGCTCTTCATTAGTGACGGCTCTAGGACAGAACAGGAGGGGCAGTAGAGGGGACCACCCAGGGAAGATGGGGTGAGGAGCAAATGGGAGAGAGGGGTGAGGAAGTAGACATAACTGAAAAAGGGGGAGGGTGGTAATGGAGGCACCGATGATGGAAGCGACAGTGGTGAGGATGAGGATGATGGTGACGATGGAGATGATGGTGGGAGGTAGTGGAAACGGTGGGGCAGGGGATGGTGGTGATGGAGGTGGAGGTGGTGATGGTGGTGGGAGCAAGGGAGGGATGGAGGTGAGAGTATGGAGCTGATGGTGGTGAATGGTGAACTGGAAGTGGAGGTGGAGGTGGTGATGGTAGTGGGAGGAAGTAATGGGGTTGATGGTGGGATTGGAGGTGGGTGATGGAGCTGATGGAGGTGGTGATGTGGTGGTAGTAGTAATGGTGGCCAGAGGTAGAGGTGGTGATGGTGGTGATGGTGGTG